ACATAATTATTACAAGCACATCAGCACCCATACTCTTACTCTTAGACGTATGAAAGTTCAGTCTGGTAAGTGCTTAAATGTAACCATTATTGCTGGGGCTAACAAAAGCATGTTATAAATAAAAAGTAAAGGTAACTATTTACCTATAGTCTTCTTATATATACATATATATATATATATATATATATATATATATATGTATATATATATATGTATATATATATATTTATAAAGCATTTATTACATATTTTTGGTATGTTTTTAAAATCTGAAATGAAATTACATTTAAATAGTACACCAGAACAATAATAACTCACAACTTTCAAACTGTAGGTAAATTTAGCACTAATGGTACTAATAGTAAACTGCCGGTGTATTGCTAATTTGATTGGATGTAGATGCATTTATTTACATTTTAGCCCAGTTGTTACGTTGGTGGGCAGAAATGATAGTGCCTTCATGTGGGTGGAGTGGTGGAACAGAGGCGTGGCATTCAAAAATGTGCTTGCACAAGTGCCTCCTTAGACTTACTCTTATCACAAAGGCAAGTGCAAATCAGCATTTTCCTGTCTGCACAAATAACAAAATGAGACAGAAAACTTAAAAAGTTATGTGAGCCTTTTGTTTGCTAATAAAAAATTAAGGTGAAATATGAGAAACAGTGTTTTCTCTACTCGTAAAAAATTGAAATCTGTCTATTTTGACACATGCCTGATGCTTAAAGGTAATGAGAGAAGTTGATTTGATTGGCTATTGTTACGCTTTTTGTTGACATCGAACTCTGCCCTGATTACCAGCGCAGCAATTTTATGCCTAATTTTTGCTTTTGTACTATGACAAACAAAATAGGACCCTCAGTCTATATTAATAATAATATTACTGGACACACTAGAACCACTGATTCAGCTTTTGCCTTCCAAAAGCTGAATAACATAATTATACACATAGGTTTGTTGATCTTACATCAGCACTTTTACTCTGAGACATAAGAAACGTACAGTCTGGTCGAGTGGTAATGGTTGCTGTCCTCGGTGCTGAAATATGGGCTCATTCGATAATGCAATTCTATTTTTTTCTTTACTTAACTCTCTTCTCCTCTGCTTGAGATCATTTACAACTTGAGATCATTTACAACTTGTAACTTGACAATTAGGAGTGTTTAAGATAGATCACCAGATCACAGCAGACTTTTAATTTTCCTGAGGAGCTTCCATAGCCACTGAAGAATGATTAATGATCCACGTCTGATTTTAGAGCCAGGGGTCATACCTATTTTATCCATGTTCTGCTGTAAAATGAAAATGCTTGTGTGGTATGATATATATCTGATTATGTGGACTGAAATTGTTTTTATGATTCAGTCTTCTGCATTTTGATTAACAGGCTGTACATGTCAATACATAATCGCCAGAGCACTCATTTGTCAGACCTCTTATAGAACATTAATGCGCACAATGCACTCAAGTGGAATTATCATGATTTGTCAAAGCATTAATTTCCTGAGATGCGGTGTTTATTACTTAGAAGTGCTTCATTATGATGCTGCAGATGTGCTGCAGCGTGCAGCATACTTTAGAGCTCGTGCTGAGTCTCAGTGTGTTCTAAAAAAGTGTCATCTGGCCACAGAGTGATTTGTTTTCTGGACTTTTTTTGTTAGTTTCCGGGGTGCTCTGTTTACATAAAATGTTCTGTTCAGATTCACCAGCAAAGCCAGACCAGATGGGTTAGTTAAACAGAGAATGACTCTTATTGGGCTGTCAAGTGGCATAATCATCTAAGGTTTTGCCTGATCATTGGTAGACTGTGACTTTGAATTCTGGTGATGATAATTGCTGGTGCTTTATTAGGGTATTTTAACAAATCTGTGGGTTTTCGATGTCTGATATTCTAGGCCAGTTGATATATCACTGGACTACTGGAACCAGTAGGTTGTTTGCAAATATAAAAATAAACCATTTAGCGAGTTGCCAAATGCAGTTCTTGATGCTATTGATAATTTAATTACCCTTTGCCTTTGTGAATGCCACCTGCCCTCTGTCCCTTATTTCACTGTTGTAGAAAATTCAGCACTGGTGCTGCCATTTTGTTGTCATTAAACCCCTGACTGATGTCAGCTTCCAGCTGACCTTCTTCGGTCACCCGCATAATCTGCTACAGGTGCTAATTCTTTTGTGTTTATCCAATGCTTATGGTCTCTACTGGTTTCTAGTACCTGTATGTGAACACTTACTGACCCTGCAGAAACGACATTGATAATTTAGGCCAAAGAGGATCATCCTGACAGATGCACACATAAGCAGCTATTGGTCCAAGGAAGCCTAACAGCTGTGCCCGGCAATCAATGCTAATGACATTCTGACAGATTCACCTATGGATTGACTGTATCATTGGTAGGAGAGAGACAGAGAAAAGGACGTTGAGTCAAGATAAAGAGAAAACAAACAAACACACTGGGATGGTTCATGTTCTACTATTAAATTTTAGAAGCCTTTTAAAGTTAATACGTTCTACAAGTATCAATGGTGTGTTAAGCTTTTTGTCGAGCTTTGGAGAAGTTGTTTCAGTTCTCTCTGTCTCTTTGTCTCTCTCTCTCTGTTATTTGTTACTCTTGCTATCTTATCCATCTCTGAATTATTGTTCTGCCTCTGTCTTGTGTAATCAGCCTCACTGTGACTTACTGTTTAAAAAGAAGATTTTCAATAGAGATTCAAACTCGGCACAAAACTATGTATGTGTGTTTCAGTAGCTGCCTGGCTACTCTGGCGCTTGCCTCATTTGTCACGCATGATTCTGCCTGATAAGGATGGGATATGATATATCATAAATTACAGTACTTTTATCCGCATGGAGCTTTTACAGGTAAAGGAGTACAACATAATTTTACAACCTGATTTCGGTCTGCCGCAACAGTTTTGACATATTTGATGGTACAGAAAACCCATTGACTAAGGATTGACCATTGTTTTGCCCCACGTCCCCCCGACTCTGAACCTGATTTGAATACTTTGATATTGTGTATCAGCTGATACTAAATCGAATCTAATACTTGTGTTTTCATACATAATGCAGCCACACAAATCAGGTAAAATATGCCAGGCTGGCAGTTGCCTCAATTACTTCATTTTTAGTGTGTGCTTAATATGATGTTCTGAACTGACAGGCTTTTCTTTAATTCTTCTTTTATATTGTTTAAAATTGACATGACTCTTTAAGACATTTGAAAAAGTGTGTGTTCCTGCCATTTTATGTACTGTGATTTCTGAATGCAATTTCATGTTGTATTTATTTGATATATGAAGAAGGTGGTCTGACAAAGCCAAAAATTCTGAGATTTTTAATCAGCTTGTGTCACAAGCTATCTTTTTGAACAAGAAAACAAAACCGTAATGAGCGCTTACTGATCTGTATTCTGTTCTGAATGAGCTCATGTGGTACCAGGCCTGCCAGGTTCATTTAAATTGATTGATTTCCCTAATGATTTGGATGCTAGTTACATTAACATTCCGCAGGCATGTGCATAAAAAAGCTTAAATGTGCTATAATTGATAACAATGGTTTAAACCAGAAGCGGTGTGGTTGTTAAAGCAGGACGTTTTACACCAGTCATGACTCATAAGTAAAAAACAGCAAATTAGTTCCACACTGCAGACATTTAGACTACTTCTTGAAACATGTCTCACTGTTGCTGGTCGTGGATAAAGTCCGTTTCTGGCACCTCTACGACATAAGCATAAAAAGAGCACAAAAAAGATACAATGGATTGGAATTGGATTTGGCTTAATATATCTGTCCTGTGGCTTATGTTGCTTGGGAATTTTGAGTCAAAGCGTTTTCTGTTCTTTTACTAAGTGGATAGACTGTATGCTATTTATTCAACAGATAAAGAGCAGGATGAAAAACCCTGGAATATTCCTTTAACTCAGTGAGACGGAGGCTGAACCATAAAGAGATTCAGCACTGCGGCACTGATGGTACTGGAGTTTCAGATTTGTTTATCAGGCCAGAGAATGGAAGAATAATAGGCTGTTAGTATTCAGACTCACATTCAGGCACAAAGACACAAAGATAAACAGAGAGAGAGAGAGAAACAGAGAGTGGAGGAGAGAAAGAGGGAATGGAGGGAGTAGAGAGGAAAGAGTGGGCAGGATGTTCTTTGGGAAAATATTCTCTCTATATGCAGAAAAAATGCATTGACTTTATCTGATTCAAATGTGTGCATTATTTCCTAATCAAACATTTGAGTTAAGTAAATACAATGCATCTCTTTCTTTAGCCCATCTCTCTCTCTCTCTCTCTCTCTCTCTCTCTCTCTCTCTCTCTCTGTCCTGAGGGAGCTTGTTTAGTGTTCTTCTAGAATGATGATCTAGTTTTGAACCCTGGGGAGCAAGGAGTGGCTGTAATCTACAGAGACAGAGAGACTAGATCAAGTTTCATTTTCACTGTCTCCAGTAAAGGTGTAACTATTGCAATGCAGTATGAAATAAGGCAAAATATAACATTATGATACTTTCTCATGGTACATGATGCACAGTTTTTCTGAGGTTTGATAAGTTTGAACAGACAAAAAAGTACCAGAAGTGCCTCATTTAAAATACTGCCAAAACTATTATTGTTTTAAAAGCACAGTCAGTGATCAAAACTAAACACTTGTAAAATCTAGGAATTGTGATTGTTCTCTTCTAAGACTAGTGTGGCAGACATTAGAGCTCTGTAGAATCAAGACATTTTATCACATAAAGTATAGAAAATCATATTGAATCTTGACCTCAGAATCATGTCAAACCTGAAAATATGTGCGCTTCAAGACCTCTAGTCTCCCCTGCTTCCATCATTTGCCACACATGACAGTTCTGTCCCAGTGTCCAAGTATCAAACAGCACAACATGCAGAATGTCAGACAATGTGAACACTGTTTTAACTGCCTACCTGATCTTTCTTTTCTCTCTTTTTCTCTCTTTTTCTCTCTTGTCTCTTGTCTACCTACTGCTTATGCCCAGAAGGATCTTCCCCTGCCTCGTAAAAACAGCAGGTGAGTTCTCTGCTTGTCACTGCGTACATGAGCTAAAAGAGTGGGACCAAAAGCTATGAACCTGTGAAAATTCCAGCTACTTGCTGAGTGTAGCGGAAAAACCAGTGGCAGGTGATTTGAGCCTAGCCAAATTATCTAACTCCTAACTCCTCAACCTGAAACCTTATAGCTGATGGAAATTGTCTGGAGGGACTGAACCCAAAGGGCCGACACGCCACTCTGAGTTTGTGTTGTGGTGCTGGTGCTGCTTGAACTCAACATGTCTAATCCTGTAAGCAGAAGGACTTAAGAGGTGTTAGGGGCTGGTAATAGACAGGTCTACACATTCTGAATGGATTTTCTGGGCGTAAAGAAGATGTGCTCACATGGCAGCCAGCCTGTGTCTGAGTGAGTGAGGCAGCTCTGTCCGTGGTGCTGAAAATCAGAGATATGATTTGGAGGAAGTGAGGAGCATCAAAACTCAATAAAACATTAACTGAGTATTGTTTTCACCGCTGTGGGTGTTTGTCTCCTGCATGTCTCTTTCTTTTTCTGTCTCTCTCCCTCTCTTTTTCTCTTGTTCTGTCTCTCTCATTCTCTGTGTCTGTCTCTCTGCCTTCTTCTTTCTTTCTGTCTCTGTCTCTCTCTCGTGTCTCTCTTTCTTGTTCTGTCTCTTTCTCTGCATCAGCCTGTATCTCTGTGTCTCTGTATGTAGCTGTTTTACTCTCTGTCTGTTTCTCATTCTGTCTGTATCTGTCTATCTCTGTCTTTTATTTCTTTGTTTGCCCTTATACACCCATTCACGTCCTAATCCATTGCTTCCAGGAAAAATATTGCATACATGCTGTTAAAAGCCTGCACACAGACACTCTCTCTGTTTCTCTCTTTCTCTCTCTGTCTTTCTCTCTCTCTGTCTTACGAAAGCACTCCTCCCACTACCTCAGTATCCATACATTACCCTTGAGATTATTCCCAGAATGCCCCAGTCTTTTATTTTTCAGTCTGAGCGCACAGACAGTCCACGTAACCTTTTTCCACTCCATCATATTTCCATCTCTCTCTCTCTCTCTCTCTCTCTCTCTCTCTCACACACACACATACACAAACACACAGACACATACGCACCTCTTTCACTCCTGTGTATGCGGATAGAGCAGCAGTCTGATGTCAGTTATTAAAGCAGTTGTTGATATTTGACTCTCTGCTGCGGGAGGTTAAACCCATGGAGAGCTTCATGTTTCGACGGACTAAAAGGTAGAATTTATCTTTCAGACACTTTTGTTAATTCTCTGCACTTCCACAAGCTTTCGGACATATCACTGTCAGTTCTAAATATTTTTCTCTTTCCCTCTCTTTGTCCTCTCCGAGTGTTTGTTTTTCTTACAGTGTCACAGATGCGTTTGTTAGGTCATATGGTCCATTGCGTGTGTGTGTGTGTTAAACGAGCTTTGTTTAGCAGAAGCCATTTGTACACACAGGTGGAGTGCTTACATTACAGGAACAGTGTAAGGTTAGCCTACACGATTTAGAGCTCATCAGGTCCAGGGTCGAGAGAGAGAGACGGAGAGACAAAGAGTGGAATGGGAAGAGAGATAAACAGAAGGAGAGAGACACAGACATAAAAGAAACAGCAAGACAGATAGAAAGGGAGAAGGAGACAGAAAGAGACTGGGATAGAGAGAGAAAGAGAGCGAGAGAGCAATATTTGACATCTGAAGCTGCCTGTGTTGTTTCTGATTAAATGCTGTTTGGTGAATGACCAGTCTGTTGACAGCACACTTGATTAAAACCTGTATTTACAGAGTCTTTCAATCAGGTATTTGTAATACAATTATATAGTGTAACAAAGGAGTTTAGTGCTTCATTGGATGGCTTGGATTTTTGAAGATAGTGTCAGAACGTTTATTAGATATACAATACGTTTTAAATGTACCATCTTACCCTATTTGTAGAATATAATTTAATTTATGTAACATACTTGTACCACCATATGTTTTATTATTCATTTCATTACTAATTCCATACCTTTATGTTCTGCTAAACCATCTGCATTGAAAGGTTACAGGAGACACTTAGATGTCTATGTGCATTATGTTTAGAAGATTATGTGCATTATGTTTAGATGAATTTAGGTGCAAACTTATTCTAGAATTTTCTGGATGCTCTGTTTCTTTAAGAGACTGAGCTTTGCCCCTGTGCAGGTATCAGCCTGGTGGAAGTAATCCCAGGTGCCTCTGTTCTCATCTTCTGCATGTGTGCATGTGCTGACTGTATTCCCATCTGGATTCTGTACTGTGAAGCAGAACTGTGTTAGCAAGCTGTCAGTTTAATAGGTTAATGTAAGGATAGCATGGTAGGTGGAAGAGGTGAAAGAGGGCAGTTTAAAATAATTATTATTTCCCTTGCCTGCTTTATTTAAGATTGAATGATTAAATCTTGCTTAATATGAGCAGGGACTTGGAATTTATCTTTGCACAAGTGGCATTGAAAAATCTACAGAAAATAAGATATATATATATATATATATATATATATATATATATATATATATACATATATATATATATATATATAAAGGTCCTTATTTAGGAGGATTATGGCCTGACTACATGAGCGCATATTAGGCCTAGCTGTCATCATGTTTGATATTCGTTGTGAAGGTTTTGCTGATAAGCAGGCGGACAGCAGGCAACTAGAAGTAAAGTAGATAAGTTGACCTATTGGCAGTCCTTGGAACTGCCCAATGGGGGAGTGTGAGGGATACTTGACTTTTTATATATAAAATTGTTTATGAATTGTTGTTGTCCAAAAATAAATGAAAATAAAAGATAGCAGTACATGATTTTAAATCCACCGTTTAATAAACATCAAAGCTTTGATCGAACACCAATTTGTAATTGTTAAACAGTGCTGCTAGTTGATAGGCTGATAGCAGTTAGCTACTCTTTTGTGTAGTTTTCTTGTGTTGCTCATTGTTCAGATGTTATGTGTTGTGTTGTTGACAGAATCTGTTAGCTGATTATATTATATATTATTGTCATTTTTTTGTATTATTTTTATTTACTTGTCTGTGATCTTATGACAACTGTTATTGTCGCCCCACTGCAATTAAGTGGCACTGTCGTTATAAATATCAGGTTTCATCATTTGGGTGATGATGAGCCGGGTCACTTTCGGACGGAATTTTGTTGGGCTTGGATCAGGTTGTACTCAAAATGTGATGCTGTGTGTTGGGTCATCCAGACTTAAACAGAAGATTCTTGGGCCGTATTCGGGTTTGGACCAAAATTTCAGGCACGATTGAAACTCTAACACACATTCTTACACAACCTCTTAGTAATTATGATTTGAAGGGCTCGTGGATCCTCCTTTATGTACTCCAAAGGGCATGGATTTTGAGTGATAGACCAGTGATGGCAGACCAAAGACAGTGCTACAATACCAGGCATTTAGAAATGTTGTTCAATTCAACAACTAACAATGAATAAAAGTTTAGCATGACCTCATGCTAACAATGCCAATTTGGCTATCAGTAAAAGAAAGCTTGTGTTAGCGGTTAGCCTTATCTCATGCTAAGTGTTAGCTCTTATTCATTGTTTGTTGGAACCATTACTTGACCTTGGATACACAATTTTAAAATCACAATTAAAATCACTCAGAATTATAAAAATACAAAATTAGATTGTCTAAAAGTTTAGTTTCTACATATTTACCATGTCTTAAGTTAGGTAAGATGATTAATGGTAAAGTAATTGATCTTCACTGAACTCATTTAAGATTGAGATAATTGTAAGAGATATTGTATTTGGCATTGATTCTATTAAGAGTACCATTTTCTATTTAAATCCATTTTCTATTTTGGACATTTTGACATGCACATCCAAGCCATTATAATGACAATCTTTTCAAATTTGATTACCAAAGCAAATATTTCGTTACAGTCTGAATATCAACAAATCCTCTGCTTTTAGGAACAATTACCACGTGTGTTGAAAATAATTTAATGTAAAGATGTAATGATTGTTAGTATTACACAGATAACTGCCTGATCAGGTTTTGCCTGAAGGGAAAATCATTACACAGCACTGTAAACAGCACTCTCATATGTAATTAATGGTGAACTCTTTACTAGGTAATTTGTGCCTATTTTCTACTGTTTAGCTGTTTGTTGAGCAATGTAACACTGAAGTTTGTGCTTTGAGGGTGTTTTTTTTTTGTTTTATTTGAGATATACATTACTCTTTTTCAGTTTACTTTAGTTCCCCGTATACAGCTTACAATCAGTTTTGTATGATGTGACTTTCCCTGTCATTTACTCCTTTGCCCATTTTCTGCATGTTAATATTTTATGCTAATGAATAATAGTATCATTGTCTGTCTCAGTGGAGCGGACAGGGTAAGGTGTTGTGGTGGCGGAGAGCTCAACAGTGGTTGTAGCTGTGTACAGCATATTGAAACCATCCATGTTTGTATTTTTAATTTGAATTTTGTTTACATTATAAAATCATAAAACAACCCAGAAGGATAAGCGGTTTAGATTGTGTGTGTGTGTGTGTGTGTGTGTGTGTGTGTGTGTGTGTATAAAATCATAAAACAGCAATATATGTTATTACACAACGATATTTAATATAGAAACCCTGTAATTTACCTGATTAAAACCGATAAAACAATGGCAGTTTTCCACTAATGCTATCTTTATCTCTATCTTTATGTTATATTTACATCAAGCAACTAGTGATGTATTTTTACACTTTATATCAGCTCTCTACCTTAAACACAGATATTTAAGACTAATTACACACATTTTTGTTACACATGCTGTGTTTTGAATGTTGACGTCTTCGTTGAGGATTTTAACTTAAAACCTGTTTTTGAATATTATTGAATCCTCTTAGTTATCTTCGTAGTTCCCAGTTTATCTGAAGTATATCCCAGTAAGCCCACATCTAGGCCAATTATTTGAGCTGATCACAATTATTAACGCTGACCACAGCTATTTTCCATAGTTGTTCGTTTTCACA